TGTGCAAACCGAAAAATAAAGGAACCGGGTACAGCAGTGTAACGGGCATTGGGGAAGCGGTAACGGTAACGGTTACCGGCAAGCGGGAATGGGAACGTCGTGTGATATATTTTATTTTTATTGATTATTCCATGACTCCTGATTCGCCAGGAACACCGGCGCCCCCACATCTTATACACGTTCTAACGCCTCCAAAAGGTGCACAGAAAAAATAAGTATGTCCTTAAATGTTTTGTGGCTGTGAAGCATGTGCAAAATATTTTTCTGAAAACATTTTTTGAAGGTGGCTTCTCTTTATAATGTAGAAAAAGGAAATACTCAATTTTAATATTCATCTGAAAAATAAGAAAGATATTCTTTATTTTGTTGATAACCTTAGATAACCTGACTTAAACGATTTTATTTTCAATGTGTCAATACAAATTGTAGCTTCACGTGGAAATTTGTTATAGTTGGCAATTTATTTTCCTTGTTTTTTAACGTTTTGGTATGGCTAACATGCCACGAACACTTTAATCAAGCACATATTTTATGCCCATGTGGGCGGGCGTGGGTAGTTATTCCTTTTTGCCGTTGTCCTGCATTCGCTTTCATAATGACAGCGACAACAACAATAATAACAACGAAAACAATACATTGTTGTCGTTGCTGCAATTTTCATAATAAAGCAAAAACAAGTCAACAGCAACAATAAGAATAATAAAAACAGAAAACAAACACCTTGACCCAAATGCGCGTTACCAACGCAGAAAATAAATTCTCCTCCGTCCATAGAACGTTACTCTTACTATTTTTAATTTGTCTAAACATTTTTTAGATTCAAAAAAAAAAAAAAATGGAAAAGGAAAGGAAATTCAGCATATGGCCCAGACAAAAAGGCTTTGTTTGCGTTTTCAGATCCTCACCGAGTTGCCTGGTTCTCTTTGCTTTTGCATAAACAAGCAGACAATCGCTTTCTATCCCCTTACAACCCCAAAAACTTACCCACCCACATCATCCAAAAAATGCATACGCAAATTTATACACTAGATATAACTATGGGGTTGAGGGGGAGTCGGTGGAATATACATGAAACATGTATGGAAATTTTCAGTAAAAAGCAAAAATATATTTTATGCACTGTCGTTTGTGGCTTCGAGTTCTCGTTCTGGTTCTGCCTCTGGTTTAGTCCAAAGAAAAATAAATATACAAATAATAATAAAGTTTACTGGGGAAATGTATGCGGTGAAATTTCTTTTTATTGTGATACCCTTTTTGTCCATAGATATGATCAAAGTGTTGAGTTGGGTTAAATATGCAAGGAAATTTTATAATTCACTTGTATATATATTTTTTTTTTGCTAAAAATGTACTTGAATAAATAACTCAGTTTTAAAATATCTACAAGTGCTTACTTTAGATAAAGTTAATAATAAATTAATTTTATCCGAAACTTCACTTAATCTAATATAAATTTAAAATAGTGCTCATTAACTTAGCTTGAGCCTCTTTCATGCCATTTCCATATTATAACTATTTTTCTTGTCAGTCTTTTTTGTGCAATATATATTATCTACCCAACTAGCAAAAGGCTTTTTTGCATGCTGTTTCTGCTTGTGGGTTTAACTAGATTTGCTTTAGCTGCATTTTATGGGAATTTTTTCAGCTTCTGCTCCTTTTTCTTCGTGGGGCATCTTCAGCTTCTTGGCATATTTAATGGACAGTGAGTGTGTGCGAGGATATTTTTTGCAAGTTTTTAATTAAAGCGAAAGTGTCGACAGGCATGCTGGGGATATGGCCAAGACCAGCAGCAATGTCCTGGGAGCCAACGAGCTGCCACTTTTGGCTTTTTGCAAATTGTTGCAGTTTATTTTATTTAGTTTTCCGAGCTGATCGATAAACTTGGCAATTTTCGGTTGGCCAACCATTTGGTTCAACGCCTGCTAACTGGAAAACTTTTGTAGTAAGACTTTATAACCTGATACAAAGGGAAGTGAAACAGTTTATCAACAAGGCGGAGTTTGTTGACATTAATCAAGATATCCTTATGCTGATGAAAATTCGAAACAATTTAATAAAATTATAGAAAATCATTCGTTCTTATATGTATTGTTTTAGATGGGAAAACATAATAATATTTATAATTGATGCCTCCAAAATTCATATATAACCATGTATGGTATGGAAACATCTTCAGCTTATAGAAGTTGTTCTTCCATCACATCATTTCAATTTGCTTACTTTAATCTTTCATAAATTTGCAATTTTAATGCGACTGCCCTGCAGCCCTCAGTCCAAAATAAAATCCAGCAATTTGTCAAACAAGTCGTTGCCCACGCAAAAAAATAAGACCCCAAGCAGCAGAAAAAAAAACAAGAATTTGTAAATCTTCCAAATTAGAAACTTGTCATTCCGATTAGCTTAAAACACACAACAAAAATGTTTCTGTTTTTATTCCCAGCCGAAAAACTTAACTTAAGAACAGGTTTAATCTCGACCCCGAGATTGCCTTTAAGGGTTTAAATCGCAGACAAAAGGAAGAAAGAAACGAGGAATAATAAAAGGGACACGGCGACATTGTGGCCAAAAGGATCTCTGGAAAAAAAAGGGTCCAAATGAGAGAAAATGCGCGCACATAAAACAAGATGAAACAAAGGCCAAAACGGCATTAAATACAATAAAAACACAGCGAAAAAATATTATTAAGAATACAGAATGCGCAGAGAGAGAAAGAAAAAGCAATTAATAATAATTAATGTTTTTATCTTTTTGTTCAGCCTTCTCTCGTCTTTTTCCCTGAATAATATTTCTCTCGCAGAGAGACAAACAGGAAACCGAATCCAGACTTCTGAGTCCAGAATCCAAGAATCCAGTTCCTACAGTCTGGCGCTGTTTTTTATTACATTCAGCAGTCCGGAGTTGACTTAATTGATAATTGGAATTTCTTCCCTGCAATGTATTTAAATTTTTCAACATCATTTCGTTTCATTTGTTTCATTTCTCTGGCGACTTTAACCCAAAAAGGCCGCAAAACTGCGAGCCGAAAATAATTGTTTAAAAGAATCTGCAAGCCGTACGAAAAAAAAGATACAAACCAGCAATAAAACCAAAAAACCGCAGCAACTGCAAAAAGAGAGAAATGTTTTTTTTTTGTATTTGGTTTTCAGACTCATTGCAGAAGTGTTGGAAAGAGGCGTTCTAGCGTTTAAAAAATTTTGTGGCCGTCGCCAATCGACAGCAGCCGAAATGTATCTTAAAGTTTGCCACTTGCTTGCTGATGGTGTTGATGTTGATGGTTCTTCGGCTTGACTTTTTGGCTGCGGGCGGTTTTTGTTTTCTTTCCCGTTGAACGCCGTCGCTGCTCTCCACCAAAATGTATCTGTATCTGCAGCTGTGCTTGAGTATCTTACGAGTGTGTAGCCGTGGCTTCAGGTTCAGTTTCGGTCTCAGCACTTTTTTTCGGAGGCCTCCGCAGCTTCAGTTCGTTTGTTATTGCTTTTGTACAACATTTAAATGTTTAGCTGCCGTTTGAGCTTCGTATTTGAGAGTGTATATAGTGGGTATGTGGGGAGTTCTGGGACTACGAAATTTTACACATGAGACTTCGTATAATATTGAGAAAACATACAAAATATTTTCAAATAGAAAATGTTTATCAATAATTATTTAAAATAATTTTTGGCCACTATTTTATACTTAGAAAAAGTTTTGGTATACAATATAATTGTAAAGCAAGGACTTACAATTATTATAATTATTTATCCAGTACAACTTATTGGCTGCAAAATCTTTCTAATTGTTTAATGTTAGAGCCTGTACAATTTATGAATATTTAATTACATTAAAAGACTTCAGCATCATAAATTATTCGGTTCCCTGCATATCTAACCTTATAGATCAGAAAATGTATGTAATTATTGTTGTATTAATAAATGGGTATCCCCCAAACCGAACCCCATTTCAGAATCCCATTTCCACTCACGTTTTCTTGTTCGCAGATGCCTCTTCCTTTGGTTTTTTTGTAGGCGTGAGTTTTATTTCAGCTCACTTAATGCGAATTAAGCTAATTTAAAAGCGATTCGAAATTAACTTTAATGTGTATGCAAAGCAACACGAAACGAGAGGAAAAATAACAGAAAAACCAAAGCAAAAAGTATTTCTAACACTTTTGCTCCCTTCATTATGGGCTGGGCTTTTGTATTTTTGGGCTTGGGTTTTTTGGTTATTTGATTTGGATATGTGGTTGGATTCGATGTGTGGGCGTCTTGAAGTGGCTTCTGTAGCGCCCGCTTTCCCAGTGGATCGAGCCCCCATGTTCGTATATACTCGTATCTATTGAAATTGCTATGGTTGTTGTTGCCCAGATTGTTGTTGCTGTTGCTGTTGCCGCTCTGACCCAATTGACGTAGTCAACGTCGTCGTCATCGCTTCGCTTGTTAGAGGAGCTCTTAAAATAAAATTGAAAAAAAAGAAACCAGGAAAAAATAAGGAAAACCGAAGAAGTGCAGGTCGCTAGTAAAATGCACATTGGATGAAGATGGTAGGTAGGTTCCACCACATGCCTATAGATACACGCTCACACTGACACACGCTCTTAGCCATGCATATATGCATGTGTGTGTGTTTAAATTGTAGGTAGCAAGCATGTATCTTAATGAAGGCAATTTGCTTGTCGAGTTTAGGCAAGTTAGTTTACCGAAAATTGGCATATGGCCAGTAGCAACAAAAGCCCCGTACAGGGCACTGCATTTGAACTCCCAAAACCACCCACTTACCTTCTCCTCACACCTTCCCAGTTGCCTTATATATGGCTTACAGCTTAGGTTGCCTACAACGAATATCGAGTGAATCTATGCTCTTTTTATAAATTTTGGGATATTTTAAAAATATTTCTTTTATCATTTTTTGAAAATTTTCTTACTCTATAAATAGCTATATTTTAAGATATAATTTTATTATTTTAAATTGAAGTATAGCAATATGATGAAACAAAATAACTAATTAAACTCTTCTACTTTCAGTTCCAAATAGTGCTGCCTTAGGACCAAAAGTCTAAAGTGAGTTTTTGCAAATTTAAATATCTTGTACACGAATCTATAACTATAAATCCAGATTGTCATAGATGATTTCTAAAACTGTGCAAAAAAGCTTTTTAAATCGAAAATATTATTAATTTAATTGATCGGGTGTTTGTTAAATGTAACTACAAAACCTTTTCTTAATGCCGAATACCGAAAATTAAATTTCAACTTAAGGAAGTTCTCTTTTTAGAATTTCGACCGTATCTGCCTTAGTCATTCACCAGTGCGCACATGTCGATAAACCAACTTACACACATCGATGGCGATAGGGAACATGGGGTGAATCGGTGGGATAAGAGGGCGTCTGGGAGCAGGGGATGAGGACGAGGATGAGGACATGCCTGGCATGCACTCTGGGGGGTAATGCGAATTGGGCTATTCGGCCCCACCCCCCATGCCGCACTTCCTGCTGACCCGTTCCTACACGTAGCGAAAGAAGAGTTATGCAAGCTGCAGATACATTTTGGCCCACATGTGTAAGTGTGCGTGTGTATCTGTGTGTGGTATGGTATGTAGGTACAGGGCTCGAAAGGATGGAAGTTCGGGCCCAAACAAAGCCGGGAACCGATGGATTAGAAATGATTTACAGGCCAGTTGGAGAAATGTTCAACGATTTCTTCTGGGCTTTAAGTTTTAGAAGAACTGCTGATATTTCTATTTTTAAAGCATTTTAACAAGAAATCGTTTGCAAATTTAAAAAGCAATTAAAAATTAAATACATATTGCTTTAGGCAATTTTCTTACTACTTTTATATGCTTTCTTTTCAAACTTTTCTCAACTCTTAACACACAAATTGTCTGCAATTTAATGAGCTTCTAAAGCCTAAACTTTTGCAACATTTACTCGCCAAAAAACTTGAGCACATTTATCATTTCAAATTTTCCAGCTGGCCATTAATCAAAAGGCTTAAAGTTTTTTTTGCCGTGTACATTTCGGGGCTCTAAAATGCCAAAACGAATTTGGCTTAAATTGCGAAAATTTAATAATCTAATAAGGCAAATTTTAACAAACTATTTAATGGCTAAAGTGAATGCAGACTCGGGTCAAATTCAGGCTGGCAAAAGGCAGGGAGGCAAGAGTTTGGAATTGGCCTAAGGCGGAGCGTTTAGCTTAAGTTAAGCGGAGACAGCAGCAGTCGCGTTTAATGTCTGTGAAATTGAAAAATTTACTCTTTAATATGCGAACGGGTTGGTTGGTTGGTTGGTTGGACGGTTGGCTTCTGTGAGACCGAGAACCTGCCGGAAAGAGTCAGATACGGATGCTGGATACTTGATGCTGCTGGTCAGGCCAAATGGTGTGGAAGCCGCTTTTGCTGCTTGAAGTGCAGTTAGAGCAATTTCACAACTCACTAACAATCATTAATGCGTCGCCGACATTGCCGCCCATCCCCCCCTTTTTGTATTTTATTTTTTTTTTCCTAGCGAAGGAAGTCGGCCTTCTAATAAGCAGCCTCGCTCGGCGAACTTAAATCATAAACAGGCCGACTTGGCTGCTTTATGAAATGGAAAATGTGCAGCAAATGAAAGAAAACACAGGCCAGGCAGGCGCACAAAATAAAATTATTCCGAGTCGAAGGAAAAGCTCGGCGTTGCGATTGATGGGATGGTTGGTTGGATGGCTGCCTCGTTTGCTTGTGTTTGGATGTGATTGAGGCCTGCGGCTCATTTTGAAGTTCATGTCGTATAGCGCTTGCTAAATCGACACGCAGATAGATATGGGGAAAACCGTAAAATAGGAGTGGGTATGGCTGCGGAGGATTTAGCGGAGAGAGTCTAATGACAGCTGTGAATATTCAGTGAAGCATGCGAGGTGGGTTTGAGATGTAAGCTAGTACATTAAGATTGGATGGGGGTTAAATGGAAATTCATTTAGTAAAGTTTAGTTGCGTATAGAATATAATTTACTTTTATATTTCCTTGAGTAGCGTTGAAGGAGTTAAAACAGCAAATTATTAAGGCCAACAAAATATTGGTTACTGTAGCGCAAATAAAAGTTTCAGGTTCTGCCTCTTTTAGTAAAACTTAAAACTTAAAAATAATGTTTTACTTCTCTATGTTTAGGTCCCGAAAATGTAACTTTAAAATATCTCTATAATGTTTTTTTTTATATCCTACCTTTCCGTCAGACTTACCCTACTTTGTTGACAGCCCACGTTCGCGTCGTTTATGTTATATCATGCAGCGGCTTTGATGACGGCCTGTTGCTGTTGCCTCGGGAGTTTGCTCTTTCCCTCACTCTTTCGCCCCTTCTCTATGCTCGAAAAGATCGTAAATGTGTGCCAAATTATAAGTCATATGAAACAATGACTGCTACTTAGTTATGACCATAAAAACGAGGCCAACCGTGGGGATGGTCGTCGCTATAGCGTATAGCAGTCGCGACTGCTGTCAAAGTCATTTTGGCGCATAATTTTTACAGCCAGTCCCCCGCAATTTCTCCTCTTTTGCTGTTAACTCGAAACTCGTCGCGTTCTTCATATAACTTTTATAGTCTTCCCTGGTCGTTGCTAAAATATTCTAATTGTTTTCAACAATTTTTGAATGCGCCGTGTACGCGCGGCAGTGTCATAAATCTTTTTTGGCCATACTGCAGCGGGATGAGGCAGCAACTGAAATGGCCAAGACAAATTTGCTTTAAAGCTCGCCAATAAAAGTTAACAGCGTCGTCCATGCGTTGTGCTATCCTCTCCAGCTTTATACCTATGAGTGTGTGCTTTTTGTATCTTTTGCATAATCTAGCCAAAAAGAGCGCATTTGAGACTGGTTTTATCGCTGGCCCGTTGTAAAGGGATGCGGAATGGAGGGGATTGGGGCCATGATTGAGTGGAATGCACGGGAATCGTAATTAAAATTTGTTGCTTCACAAGAAGCTCTATCTGGATGCCTGGACATGTTTTTTTATTTTTATGATATTTATATCTATTTAGATAGTTGGTACTTTATGGTGGCTCTACTTGTATGTACTTTAGAGTCTTACTCCGCAGTCATTTGGGTTTATATTTTATGGCCAAAGGATCTTTGCAGATGTCGTAAACTTTATATCTATGTTATTCTAGCTTTCAATGCTTGATTTTACTTTCTTATTACTTTATTACATTATATATATTCGATTAAATATTTAAACAATTGAGACAACTAGTTTTGTGTTACTTTACTCTGTAAGCTGTAATAGATTTCTTATAGTTACTAAAAAATGATTGGTATTTTAGATAAAGTATCTTTCTTTTTATAAATTTACTTTATATCTAATGCAATAATATTGTGCGTTTATCTCAGAATGAAACAGCTGCATAATCTATTTTATTAACACAAATATTTCAACGTTTTCGTAAGCCCATTCAAACTCTTATCGTAGTTAATAAATTTACCAAAGATACAAAATAAATTTTATTAAAGCACTTCAATATTTCATAACTTTCTCACGCAGCCTCAGATACTTCCCACATTAGTTAATACAAATATACACAGCGCAGACTACATAAAAATGTATATATACATTTTCGCTCTCATCCGTACATACATTTTCACATGCTTAGCACAGTTAAGCGGCGCATCCGTTAGATACACCCGAAAATAGCCGCACGGCGAGATACTTTCGCCCATAACTTAGGGCCATTGCACGGCAGCCACTTGGCCCGGGTTCATTGCCAAGTTGCATGCAACTTGCAGATACTTCGCACTCATGTCTCAGCTACTTTATATCATTTTAATAATGTATCTGCTAGGTGGCTCGCAACCGAGAGCTCCGGCAAGAGTTCAAAGTAGTTTGCACTCAATTTCAATATTTTACCGACCAGCAAATAGCACCAAAAAAAAGAAGGAGGCAAGGAGACTTGCAGCTGGCAAGACAGCGAACACAATATACCCCATAGATACATATGTTTTATACATATATTGCTTATTATATATTAGCGTGTGTCTGTTGTTCGGGGCCCCTCAGGAGCCAAAGTAACTAATATGAATAGCTAATAAATCACATTTGGACGGTGATTTATGTGACAGGTGCGTATTGCGATTTGAAATTGGCAACAGTTTCCATTTCGTATCCGCAAATTGGCTAAAAGCAAAGCAGCATGTGTTACCTTTATCTTTATTTTTTTTTTGTTTTGCTCCATTCTGTCATGTAAAATATCGAATAATCCGAAAACCCGATCCAAGTGTGAGCGTTAATTTCGACCTAAGAGTTGTCAAATTAGTTCAAGGGAAAAAGGTATCCTGGCTGACCCTCAATTACGCATTTCTTTGGAAAACTTTGTTAATTTGTTGTGTCGACTCAAACAATGAGCTGGGGCTAATGAACGTGGAGTGGGCATTGTAGGACATTGGTTCGTTATTAGTTGCCGCCCCGAACAAAAAAAGAAGGAGAAACGCACACGCATGGAACCGGACTTTATCGATGCCATCAGCTAGCCGGTCTGGGGCTCCTCATTATGTAACCTCTCATAATTCTTTCATTAATGAAATTCCCACACGACGCTGCCACCATCATCTGCATTATGTAAATCTTCCATCAACAACACGGCTCAGCACGGAGTCGGTTTCATTTGGTATCTGCCTGCACCCAGTCCACTTTTCTGCTCCTTTCATCCTTGTCAACTAATTTCAGGGTTGTGCGGCCGACTGACTGCCTCTGCCTGTCATGTTTTTTAAGACTGTTTTAATTTTCATCCTTTCAAGTGAGGAGGGAGGAGATGAGAACCCTGAAGAACAGAGCACAGAGCACAGAGAATGGAGAACGGAGAACAGTCGGGCGCAGTGGCTTTTACTTTCCTTTCCTTTCGGCCTTAAAAATGTTGGCCAAAAACCAAATAAGACGAAAACTACCTGTTCACAAAACCCACACACACCGCAGAGGTAGCAGTAACAACATCAGCTACATATCCCCCAAACGAACAACGAACGTCAGGCGAACTGTCGAGGCAGCAAACAACGCCCAGTGGGCACAGTGGTTCGGCGTTGAAGTCCTTAATTTAAGG